AAAAATACCGTGGACAAGTGTTTCATTCCGTTCTTTCCAAGTGTGCAATTAATAAAGCAACAGGTTTTCACCAGCTCAGAAAACCAGACAAGTCAAAGGCTCTTGCAATCAGTTCTTCCATTTCCTATTGCCAGGGCTTCTTCCCCTCAAAATACCTTGTTAAGTCCATTCCACTAAACAGGAAAGGTCTAAAAATATTCCTTGGCAGCCCCTGCATCAGAGACCATCCCAGGGTTTTCTGCTTGGTCTTTTTTTTCCCACCCCCTCTGCCTGCTTCCAAAACACCTGGAAAACCTGCTTAATGGGGATTTCTCGCTGTTGAACAAGGCTGCCTTCAGTATTCAAACACAAAAGGAAGTTAAAGACCTTTAAAACACGCACAGAAAATGTTATTGGGCTTTTGCTGCCCCATCATTAAGTCGACAGTTGGACTCAATGATTTTCAAGGTCTTTTACAACCTCAAAGCTTTGATAAGTCTATGCCCGTAACCCACAGGTTACTGGGATAGGTTTAAATCTTTCTGACCCCATTTTTCTGCACAGGACCTCTTGTCGATGAGATTATGGGCTTTCTTTTTCCTGTTTAAATCCACAGCCCTCTGTTTGGGATGCTGGTGTTTTCCCCTCTCCATCATTCATCCCAGATCAGGAGGCTCAGCCAACACCATCACCTTCCCCCTGCTCAGAAGAAGGTTCTGCCTCCAAAAGCACATAAGATTCTTTTTAAATTCTCATTAATCATGGCCTGTAATCCCTGGGATCCTGCCAGGCTCTGTGGTTTTCCTGGTGGTCTCCTCCTTCAAGTCTCACAGATAAATTATGCCCTAAATCAGTTCGGAGGCCAACACAAAATCCCAATCCCCTTCTCGGGCTACGTTTCTCCCAGTTTAATCTCCCCCTGATTTAATCTCAGCCAAACATCCAGATCACTTCCAGGAGCTTTACTTTCTTGGAAGAGTTAAAACCCGTGTTTTAAGCTTCCCTTTCCAGGTCTAACGCTGGTTTTCTAGCCCAGGCTCCCTGTTTGTCACAGAGAAGCAGCAGTGCCCACGGACATGTCACCACCACCTTCTCAGAATCCCTCACCACATGATGATTGCCAAGGGCTGGTGCTCCATTTCCTACACAGAGTCCCCACCGTGCCACGAGACTGAGGCAGCAACTCGTCCTGGGAAAAAGGAGAGGAGGAAAAAAAAAAAAAATCAGGATTTTGAAGCCTGCAGAAGGTCTGAAAGGAGCAAACACAATGGCAGCTGTGAATGTCAGACAGCAGCAAATTTCTTGCTGGTTGTGGAAGCATTAATTAGCACATCTAATCATTATGAACCATTAGGATGCCCTTGCTAATGTTAACCAGCTGCAGTGAGTGAGCTGAGCTCTTGAATAAGAGGAGAGATGGCAGCTGGGAGCAGGTAGGAAAACTTCAACTCTAAAATTAAAACCTCTCCACAACCAGAATTTATTTCTCTACCTTTCCTCTTACCAAAGGCACTTTACAGCCGAGGCAAGGAGAGGCTGGAAAATTGGATTAAAGTTTTATTTAAAGCCATTTTACCAAAAAGGGTAAGTTTGTCACATAGGAGAGAGAAAACTCCACTGTCCCATGGACTAAAAAGCAAAACCATCTTTGTGCCTGGAGCAGAATTTAAGCTCCGGGCTGCCACGGGCAAAACAAGCACTTTAAACCTGGCCAGGACTTTTTGTGTCAGTCATCTCTCCCCTGCATCCCCTGCTCGCTCTCTTCACCATTTAAACACACAGATCCTCCTTGCCCAGAGGTCATTTTGCCACGCAGCAGGCCAGAAATCAAGTGAAGAAAAAAAAAAAAAGGGAGGGGGGTATAATTTGAGAGCTGAGCTCCTGCCTCCCCTTGCATTTATTCAATCCTGACATCTAGTGGGCACCAGTGCAAACCAGGAGCAGCGCGGCCAGGCTCACCAGCAGCCCCAGCGTTAGCTACTGATTTATTCTGCCACAAGGGACGATCTCCACCCTCAGCACAGCTGGGTCTCCTTAAAACCCTCCCAAGCCTCCCTGCTGGACTTGCACGTGCGGGCGAACCACGCGCTCGGTCAGGACGGGAAATCGCTCAGGTCCCCGATCCCGACATCTCCCTGCCCTCTGAATCACCACACGGGTTTGGCAATGAGGGCCTCTCCTTCGTTTCTGAGAGATCATCCAGGGGTCAGTCCGAATTAGCAACCTGAGAGGAGGTTGCTGACAGCAGAGCATGTGCCAGGAGAGCTCTGCATTCCTCCAGGGTGAGCAATAACCTCCTCTCTAACATGGGCTGGGCTCCATCCAGCTCATCATCTCTGCTCTTTGACAGTGGTTTAGGCCAGTTTCACGTAGGA